TGGAAATGTACCTGTTGCAGCTTTTCAGCTCCTTTGTTCTATGGGAATATACCTTCTGCTGCTCTGCAGTCCTGTGCAGTCCATGGTCCCCGTAATTTCTAAAATTTCCTAACCCTATCTTTTTCACCCCTAGAAATTCCTGTTTCAATGTCATTTTGCAATATAGCAGAGAGGTTAAATATTTAAACTCTACACATGAATAGGCCTGAATCAAAATATTTATTGTGTCACTCCCAAGCAGACATATTTATTACATAACCATTCTCCTGACAAAAAATGTACAAGTCACAGTCTGTTGGGAGTGCTTAAGAAGAAAGCCAATGTAAAGACTTAGCACAATGCCAGGTATGTAATAGACGTTGAATAAAGATTAGTAGTTATTAGTATGTGATATGATTAATAGCTAATATCACCATGATTTACTAACACTATGTCTTTATCATGCACCATATAAATTTAAACAGAGGTGATGCTTAATGTTTCAGCGCTTTCCCTGGATATAGAGATGTGTTGATCGAGAAATTTCCTATTTCTCAGCAACTCCATGTCTCAATTCTCTTTTAACTTGGGACTTTTTTAGATGTGATGCTATATCTTTCTGAACTTCTGGATCAGTGCATAAAATCCAGGTAACAGAGAGTTAATATATAACAACTAGATTCAACAATATATTATTTCTTGGACTTAAAATGCATAAAAGACAAGGTGGCTTCTCATGCTAAAATTAATACTGAGTGTGTCTGAAAGTAGAGGCTCAAACACTCAGCATTACTGAGAAGTCTATCCCTGGGCTTATGAGCTAATTAAAATTCTGCCTAAACTTATATTTCAAATTACTATACTTAAACTATATTTATTTGAAAGGAAGAGGCATAATTCATTGTTTAACTAAAGCTCACTCTTGCATTTTCTCAAAGAAAAATCCATAATATGGTGTCCTTTAAAACAAATCCCTGGGTTTTACTACAGTGGTACACACACACACACACACAAATATATGTGACAGTGGATTTTCTAAGCGAAAGGGACTTTTTCTCTCATGTGCTAATAAAAAATGAGGCATACATATTTCTTGAAGGAGTTTGTGTTAAAGAAAAAAAAATCCCAACTCCTAGAGTATATCTTATTTATACAGCTGCCAAATCTTTCCACCAGCTTTCTGTCTGACAGAAATGCTGTGCCTGAATAAGGTTGGTTTTTAATTAAACATTCCATGTCTTTCAGCAAGTGAAAAACGAGCTAAGTGCAATATACTCATAAAAGAATATCACAGTTTTATTTCTAAAATCTGCTACTGATGATGGGTTATTTGTGCCAATCATGTCCACAAAGGTTAAGAAAACGGATATTACCATTTACATAGGTACATATATTCTATATTAATAATGGTTCTCAAAAACACACAAGACATTAAAAAATGTTACATTGAAGCTAGAAGTTTAAGCATAGATTTCCAAGTCCCTGCCTATTAATTTTACTTTGATTTAACCCTATTACAAGACATGCCGAATGAAGAAACACTTCCCTGTTTTAGGAGATATACAGTATGTATGCCACTATCTTTTCTTAATGAATCCCTTAAGAATGCATCTATTTTTAAAAGCATGCAGCCTGTCTATTAATCATAGTTTTCCCATGTTCATAAAAGAATATACAAAACACATTTCCCTCTTGCAATAATAATACCCAATGAGAATTATATTTTTGTTAACAATATAGCCTAAAAGATTTTAAAAATTCAACTCATTACCACAAAAAGCATCCTTATTTCTTTTATTAAAATCATGCTTACAACTAACTTTAATGAATACATCTGAAAGTTTAATAAGTTTAATAAACATACAAGAAATATCCCTGTGCATAAGTGAGACTCCTCTCTACACTACGTGATTTGACCCTCACTGTCTTGTGCCTTATTTACTGCTTACCGGGTATTAAGAAAGTGATCATATCTAAGGCCAAAACTTCCTAATTCTATGTCTCAGACTTCTCTTTTAGGAAAAAAAAAGAATAGGTTATTCCTATTCCATCCCAATTCACAAGTTATGCCAGGTATCAAATATTACCTCATCTAACTTCTGTAAAGGCAAGAATACCCTTGCCTCTTTTCCGCCCTCTTTTCCTAGTCCCCTACTCCTTCTATCCCCCTCTCCCTCTCTCCCACCCTCCCTTTACCCCCGCCATCATTTCTATGATTCCCATAGAATTGAAGGATGTCTTGCAGGGTGTGTCCAAAGTAAGTGAATTCCTTTTGCAATTACCATAAGGAAAAGCCCTACCAAACAGATACTCTACTGACTAGTCTGTATACGTCAAGTCAGAAGCACACACGTTGGACAAAGGCCCAGTGGAGTAGGTAGCTGCTGTGACGGCCATCTTTGAGACAGACATATAATTAATAGTAATTTTACTCCTTTATTCTTGGGGTAGTGTCATATTCTATTATTATTCAAAAAGACAGTACTCATTTCAAAGCGTCTCCCCTACCCCCAATAATTTATGTTTTCCATCCTCCTCTGGGGTTATGGGCAAGTGACTCCTTCTGAATTCCTTTTTTTTTTGGTGACAAAGTTATCTGTCAAGCCTTCTAAAGCATGCTAATCTCAACTCAAGAGGGAGTTATTTTTAGAAACTCAAGAGTTGATTTAAGCCTTTATAGGACTTTCTATCAAGTTATTCCAGTGGAATCTCCTTAACAAGGCACTAGATGTAATGTTTCCAAAGTGACTTTCTGGCATCTGCCTTTCCAGGAATAATAAAAAATCCAACCTGGCATCTCACTGCACACATATTCTCACTCTCTTCTTCATTAGTCAACTACTTATTTATTTTGCTTTTAAAAATTTTTATTGTGCAATTACAGTTTACATTCAATATTACTTTGTATTAGTTTAAGCTGTATAGCATAGTGGTTAGACAATCAAATACTTTACAAATTGTTCCCCCTGATACTTCCAGTACCCACCTGACACCATAGACAGTTATCACAATATTATTGGCTATATCCCCTATGCTGTCCTTTAGATTCCTGTGACTGTTTTCTAACTACTGATTACTCTTTAACACAAAATTCTGGCATTTGCTTTTTGATGAGACATGGCCCTAATAATTTCTGTATGTCTGAACAAATATTTATGAAATAGGTATGTTGGGCTACTTACTAATAAAAAAATCTCAGCACTCCTTGATGGTTTGACATTAATAATGTATTATCTTCTCTTTAAAATTCTTTGAAAATTGAGACAAAGAACATATAGTTGGCACAAATACACCTGCATATGTTTGGATTTACATGGGTGCATTATAAGACAGCTTATCAAAAATAAAAATAAAAACCAGCAGAAGTCTGCATACTTCTACTTCAAGTGGAAATGATAAAACAAGGCACCCAATCTGCAGCAAG